GTAAAGCATGTATAAAGGAAATATTTAGAATAAAGCCAATATATAAACTTCCTTTCCGTATAGACGTATTTACGTCAAATTCTCCGGAACCGTCGTTCCACTGTCACCTTTTTTATGAAGGAACACACAACCTCCAAACTACTGTGAGCCACGGATTGAGACCACAAAACTTTAAACCTATATAGGCCTGCTCATACATAAGCACTTAAGTTCAATCAGTTTTATTAATGCTTATTTTAAATTGACAATCTTATTTCTATAAGTCTAACCAACAAAACTTACATAGACGGAAAGGTAATATGGCTGTCGCGCTTTAGAGACAGCTGTGCACGTTTAGCAGAAAGCCATTAATTTGTCGGGCAGTTTTTAACCCTCTCTTCTACGTATGAGACAAACTAATCGTTCTGCAACTTCCGTAAATTGTCCACGGCGACCATCATCGTCCCGATACTATGTTGTTATTATGTAACCAACCACAATACAGAGACCTCTTTAACTCTTGTGTCGTTTAGAGTCAGTGAAGGAATCTCACTTGTTGAATGGAGCAGCTCGTAAATGGTATAATATAAATCCACCCCCCCCCCCCATCCACTAATACTCTTCACACTGACCATCACATGCACGAATTAAAATTTGTAAAATATGGACGTCAGTCAGACATACTTCAAACACACCCCATGAATTCCGTTTTCATCAAGGTATGATCGTGTAATATCCACATAACCCAAGATGGCATAATGCACAGCCTATTTGATAACTTCCGATGCTAGATTAGAAAGGCACGAAAGTCCGACATCCCACAGTACAATTCAACTTCTGAGACGCGGCCGCTGTAAGCACGAGGCGCTGCAGATATGGACGAGTCCAATAGAAGGCTACAAGGAATTGAAGGTGCGTGTGGGTTAATTCATTTAAACCTAAACTACCTTACTAACCCACTGAACCTGATTTTAAACTCTTCCTACTCTTTGACTCAAGCGCCGCTCAGTGGCCACGTCTGAAAAACTGAATTGCAGGTTATAAAGCGCATACTTTAACATTGTGATAACATGTTGGGTGTTCAGAGGCGTTAAATCGGGGAAGAAATTCAACGTTTCGGGAATCCGGGTGTCTCAAAAAAGTTGTGGTTCTGCCTTCGCAATTTTATTATGTTTAATTACCGTGAAATAAAAATGTAAATACACTTTTATAAAGACAGGAAACATGGCGGAATAAATAGTCTGCGTATATACTGACGATAAAACCTACAATTCTCTGACGGGATTCGAACCGAATACGAAGCTGTCGTCCCAATGATTACACTATAATGGGTAAAACAACAAATTCTCTGACATATAGGTTACATTAATTATGTGATTATAACTACATACATAGAAGTGTCCTTGATAAGCTAACAGTCGCTCAGCTAACAAAAAAATTCCCTTTTATGTAAACCAAAAGTTCATTGCCATGTTCACAAGAGCCAATGAAACTTTTAATCTTTCTGTATTATGCTGGTCTTTTATTCTGACGAGTTGATTAGTTGATAACTCAACACACATTCTGGAGGACCATCCATTATCGGATGTCATTATGGCTTATACAGTACATTCACAGTAGCCGTTCATATCTAGTATACTTAAGGACAGGAATAATATTTATTACAAAACTTTCGTACTGTATTTTCAACACAGGTCTAATTCAGTTCCCTGAAGAATATTATAATTAACATTTCATTAGCATATGACAGTCTTTCTGGTTTGTTACATAAAAATTATATAAAAAATCTCATGTTTCCTCTCTTTAACAAAAATTCATAACATATTACATTTCAGGTCTTCATCAATCATTGTTATTTCTCCAATTCTAAAAATCAGTCAAATTAATACAACTAAAATAAATACAATAATAACTAAATATCACAGCAAATTATCACTGATTTACTTCAAGTCTGACACATTTTCTAACCACTTATTCTTCTTATTCAGCTTTCAAAGTTGAGGTTTCGGTCGTATCCTTAAAAAACTAAAGATAATTAACATTTCACAATTTTATATAATTGAAAATTAAAAATGGTCTTAATTTTAATTTATAACTTGTGTTGGACAAGGCCGTGGTCTAGGCAACACGGAGTTTTCCTCCGTGGCATCCCAACAATTACTCCATTCACACACAGAAGAAGGCAATGGTAAACCACTTCTGGATCATCTGCCAAGAACGTATATGAACAGGTCCCAGTCCGAGAAAAGGATGGAAGGATCCTGTTCATATGGACCTGTCGTCAGACAGAACACTAATAATAATAATAATAGAATAAAATACTTTACTACTCTCAGTTCAAAATTATTATGAAATTTCATTTAACGACAACTTCAAGTAAAGACATATTAACTGTGTTCCAACTGTAAAATCTAATGAAATCAACATTTTCGGTATGTTCAGTGAAATAAAAATCATGAATATCACTCACTCCCACAAGAAACACTAGCCTTCAGTACTCAAACGAAAGTAAATCCGTGGCGTAACAGCTCCAGAGAGCCAAAGCCGACTAGCTTGACTGCTGGCCACACGTTCACATGCCTAAGCAAGGAATTATGCATAAAAACGTTCCTTTATGTTTTCTAACTGGTGCCTATATGTGCACAAATACGTCATAAGACTAAGAAATGCACAAAATGAGTGTAGAAATATTTTTATGGCGAGAATCTGATAGTGACTAAGGTTATGTAAGCGCGTTCTTAGCTTCATACGTAAGGATTCGTTCACAGAAATCACTATACGTAAATAAGGGGATTAAAGAAAATTTCACCTATACTCTTTGTCTTGAACATAGTCAGAACGTAGCTGCAGACAAGTCATCGGAAGTCCCGGAAGACCTGCGCCTCAGTGTCTCCTCCGTCGTGGAAGCGAATCCCGGCTGGGAACCGGGTCTCGTGGCTAGGGGCTTCACCGTCCCGCTCGGTGGTTTCAACGCGGCGCCTCTCTCCTCTCTGGGGAAAGTGGACACGGGGGGAATTCTGCGGCGCCTTCTTGTCCCTCGCATATTTACCCTCAGCTCAGCGGTACGAGGAATCCACCTCAGCGGCCGCCCATTTAACGGGTCGCCCGGCCACTACCTCGATGCACGCCGCGATGACCTCAGCATGGTTAAGTTGCCGGCCGCTGGCATCGACGTGATCGCCCGTGGAGGCAGTGAGTTTATCCACGCCTTGGGCGAAGAGAGACTTCGACTGGGCGGTCAGATGCGGGGACCCGGCTCCGAATATTAGCCCTGGCGCCGGGCGCCAAGTGGCACGTTCCATCGAACAGCCCGAGTCGGACGAGTCCAAGTCCGCGGTGGCTCTCGGTGCATTGTGGGAGACACGAACCAACACACATCCCAACATACGTTTCAGACCTGCTTGAGATAACTGGCTGGCCAGTGAGTCGATCGCCCAACCCTTTGTCCGCGGCGGAATTCACGGTTTCCAGTCTTCTCTCAGCGATGATATCCGCCTTCAGCTTCCTCAGGACGGCCTGGGAAAGCTCGGCGAAGTGGCCCCTGAGAAAGACCAATTCCTTCTTGTCCATTCGCAGACAGTAAATACAACGTTCCGGTGCTCGCAGGGTTCTCTCAATCCGCGAAGAATATTCTCCTCCTCACCAATCACTCTGACTATCTCATCATCACACAATTGCATGATTAATATTAGAACGTAATGATTGGGGCCCCACCCCGCCCCAATCTGTGGTTGCCAACCTAAATTTCTAATGCAACCTCCAATTTCCAAGTACCCTACCAAATATGGTACAGTCCGTGTGGAGTCCGATTACGCTGGCGGGACGAAAGGTTGTCGAACACCCACAGGATGAAAGTTTCCTCCCCCTGCCTCTATATGTACAGCGGATCAGCATCCCAAACATTGGTAAATATCTTTAAAATATCTGGAAAATTAGCAATATTTGCATAATTCAAATAAAAGATAGAACTACCGGTTATTTTCAAAATAAAAATTAAAAATACCTAAAGTTTCTCAAAGATATTTGCTTTGTAAAACCATCCTAAATTAGATAAGAGCCACATAAATGTAGATACGAAGATATACATATCCCACAGCCTTCCAACAGGTCGATCCAACGCATTTCAGTCGGAATTGTGTTTGTTTTCACTGAATCCACGAAACAGGCTCGAAAACCTGCAAGGCCAATGGATTCCTCCCTCAGCCTTCAAATTTACAAGGGATCAGGGGATCTGAGAGCATCCAATACTTTTTTCATACGACTCAAATATCTGAAAAATTATAAAAATTAGCGTATTTCATATGGAGTTAAGTTCTACAAAGCAGTATCAAATTAAATAATTCATATAATAAAGCTTCTCAAAATTCCTTTTCTGGAAAATCATCCGTAAGTAGATATGAACCAAAGTCGTTAAAACTTTTCGTAGTTCTTATAACAGCGATTCAATCAATTATAGCTGATTCCGTGTAATGTCCGTTTACGCTTAACGAAGGATCGATGCTCGACCTCGAATATCTACAGGGGCAGCCTCTACATGTGCACCGGATCTCGGGACCCGTGACCATCCAATACGTTGGTGCAAGGGTGTCATATATCTGAAAAATTACCATTATCATAATTCTTATATACTTAAATTTTAAGGAATTTTGAATTAAAATAATATAAAAAAAATGTGATTAGTAATTTCATTTATACTTCACGATATACGAATCACACAGCCTTTCAAAGGTACCATCAAATTCAGCTCATTCGGAGGGGTGTCAGATTACGATGAATAGACGAAAAGGGCTCGAACTCCTACAGCAGCAATGGATTCGTCATTTAGTGTCTATATGTACATTGGATCTGGTACCCGCGAGCATCCAATACTTTTGAAGATATGATTCAAATATCTGAAAAATTACCAGTTTTAATTTGATTCATGTAAAAGCAACTTTAGCCTTCACACGAGTCGAAGTAATTATGTCAGCCAGCTCCAGTAATTATTAAGGTGAGTTGACCATCTACGTTCGAACCCAGACGGATGCAATGGATTCTTCCCTCAGCCTGTTTGCCTGTCTATTCTGTGCACACGTGGGCCTACTCCATAAAGATGACAGGTTTCAATTTCTTGTAATTACAGGAATATGCCTAATTCACATAAAAATGTAATTTCCAAAAGTTTCCAAAATTAAAAACAAAATTTCGAAAAATTAAATACAAATTTCAAAATCACTTTATCCCGAAAATAACAAAATCAATTTGCCCGAATGGGACACATATCCGAACTTCCAGCATTTTGGAATGGGAAACATCTAAAGTAGGATCACAAAATG